GTGCCCGCGTACTCCAACGTAAACTTTCGACGGGTGACCCAGAAGTAGATTCCCGACCTTGTGATGGAACCATAACAGTGAGTCTGAACTGTGGGAGAGATAACATCTTTAAGACAGGCTTGGATTTTGGCGTCAACAATCATCTATGTTTCATAGGCAGGGTTACTTTTCATAATTGCAGGCAGTTCATCCTTTCCTGGAGCAGTAGCTCTTTCGTCCAGGATAAGAGGTGGGGGAGGCATTTCAGAAGGGAAAGGGACGGATCTCCGTGTTCATCCTTGCGAAAACAAATTTGATGTTATCGCAGAAGGGAAAGGGACAGATCTCCGTGTTCCGACACCATGTTGATTTTAGAGAAAATATGAATTTCACTCAAAAAATTAAATAATGAGGATCCATTGTAGTTTATATAGATGGAGATTCCGACATGAATTAGGATTCTTTCAATATGTGATCTGACTAATATACTAACACTACCATAGATACAACTATTTCTATAAGTGTCTAACATGATCTAGGGCTTGTTTGAAAAATGCGTTAGAGATTAGCGTTAGTATTTTCGAAAAAATTTTAACGGTGCAGAATATTTTGAAAATGCTAACGCTAATTTAAACACTGGCCGTAGATAGCTTTTTCAAAACGCTAACGCTAATTTTTAACGCTATTCCCAAACAGGCCCCTAACATTGCTTAGAGTTTTATATATGGTCACATATGAACAGAAATGAATTTGAAGGCAAATGCATGATATTACATTGATTTAAGTATCAAGAATATTAAACTTAAAGTGTATACAATCTTGAAGTTTATTTAATACGGAGTATTCCATATTTTGACATACTCCATATTTTGATTGGACACGATAATACTCCATATTTAGTTTACAATCTTAACGTATGACATACTCCATATTTTGATTGGACACGATAATTTAAAACAGAAAAAGTAAAATTAAATGACTGAGATATGATTTGTGTAAATGTAAAGAGGTTAAATATATGTACCTTAAATCTTTTTGGGGAAATGCAAATTAAATATGACTTGATTTGCAACGGACGAAAAGACAAAATGCAAAAATTACTGTATTTTGGAACAATTTAATGTTGTTCCTTTCCCATCTTTTTTAGCAACTAAAAGTGAATGACTTAAATACTCTCTCCGTCCCTAAAACATGATAAGTTTTGATTTTTAAGATATTTAAGAAAAATATATTAAGGTGTTGAGTTTTTAAAAAACGTCTTTTGATAGTGAAATTTGCAGTGAATAGGACTAAAACATAAGTCATTTTTCAATGTAGGACTTAAACTTTTTAATTCCTTAAATAGGACTTAATAATGACTAGTGAGAAGAATAATGTCTAAGTGATGCTGGACATTTAGTTGAATAATGACTAATAGATAATGACTAATGGTCCTACATTGGGAAATAAAAACATATGATCCTATATTGAGAAATTCATTATGTTTTAGTCATATTTAGGTAAATTACTCCTTTTGATATGATGAGTAAAATTGGAACAATTTAATGTTGTTCCTTTCCCATCTTTTTTAGCAACTAAAAGTAAAAAAAATAAAAGTGAATGACTTAAATACTCTCTCCGTCCCTAAAAACATGATAAGTTTTGATTTTTAAGATATTTAAGAAAAATATATTAAGGTGTTGAGTTTTCAAAAACGTCTTTTGATGTGATGAGTAAAATCAGGATTTGATAGATGGATTAAAAGTGAATAAATGTGATGTGATATGTAGGTTAAAAATTAATAGAGATAAAAATAACTTTTTAATAAAAATAAGAAATTTTTTTTGAACGGATGAAAAAAAGAAAACCCCCGCTACGGAGGGAGTAATTGTTAAGCATACGGTGTGAGATAAAGTCCAATAAACATCGCTAGTAGGAAAAGAAAGTAATAAGAGTAAGGGGCTGTTTGTTTCAGCCTCTTAATGGTTCAGATATCTGAATGATTCAGCACTTAATGGTTCAGACTGTTTGTTTCAGCCTCTTAATGGTTCAGATGTCTGAATGGTTAAGAGATTTGCCTCTAAATGGTTAAGTATTATACAGAGTCTGAATGGTTAAAAGCTCTTATCTGAATTGATCAGACATTTGCCTCTGAATAGTTAAGCAATATACTAGCTCTTAATGGTTCAGACCTCTTACTGGTTCAGCACTTAATGATTCAGACCTCTTACTGGTTCAGCACTTACCCATTCAGAAGTTGCCAAACAGCCCCTAAGTTTTTATTTAAAAGAGCTTGGTTCCATGGCCACTGGATTCCAGTAGCCACGGAAGCCACTGTCCCCTACGGAGCTCCGTTCATAAAATTGATAATTCCTACCCGGCTACCCCCTAACCCCCCGCCAAGTCTCGACCCAAACCAATCACCCCACATACGTCAATTGCACCTCGTAAGTATAAAGTCAAATTTTTGACTTTAAAGTCAATTATACTTAACGGAGCTCTGTAGGGGGGCAGTGGCTTCCGTGGCCACTGGAATCCAATGGCCATGGAACCGGGCTCTATTTAAAAAACCAACTACGGAGTAGTTGTCATTATATTACTACTTCCGTCCATTAGTTTTTTTCTCACTTTCCTTTCTGGGCTAGCTGTCTAAAAAATTATTTCTCGTTCACTAGTTTAAAAAAAAACTTTTAATGAAGGAACTATTATACCTCTACATTTTCTTATACTATTCACTTTACTTCATCATATCAAGCGCAAAATATGTATAGTCTTTACACTTTTAACTTTTTTTAATAATCTCCTTGCCAAATTAAATAAACCAGGAAAGAAATTTTTTGAGGGAGGGAGCATTATTTAATGACAAACTTTATTGGTATATTGTTTTGAGTATTGAGTAACGTAATTAACTAACATTTCAAAATCATTTATTTATTTATGTACTCCCTCCGTCCATGTATGATCTTCCCATTACGCGTTACGAGGCTTGACCGACTTTATTTTCAATTCAATTTACTTCGTAATTGATTATAGAAGTAAAATTTTAAAATAAAATTTATATAGTAATAAACTACATGAAAAGTTCTATAAAACTAGAGGTGACAACACTATATTATTTTATGAAATGACTAATAAAATTGAGCAAACAAAGTGAGTAAAGTTTGACCTTGTGAATAGTGTCTGGGAAGATCTATGGTGGACAGAGTAAGTATTAAAAAGGCCGGCCTGTGTATAGCATTAAAGAATTGGTGCAAGAGTGGCGTTTATGCATGTCATCAGCTAGCATTTCCTTGCACTGAAAGTGGCCAAAAATAATCATAATGTGTGCCCCGAATTTGTGAATAAGCAACAGAAATATACTATTTTATATATATATATATATATATATATATATATAAAATAGTATATTTCTGTTGCTTATTCACAAATTCGGGGCACACATTATGATTATTTTTGGCCACTTTCAGTGCAAGGAAATGCTAGCTGANATATATATATATATATATATATATTGCATTCTGTACTCAAATTTTGAGATAGTGCATTTTCAAAGGATTATGGTGCATTTCGACATGATGCATTTTCAAACCATCTTGGTGCACCTAATTTTGATGCAATCCTAACCCTTAGATCTCCCAATCTAATGCACCAGATTCATTCTTATTTCTTTCATTAGATTGCATTCTCACCTGAACCAATATATATATATATATATATATATATATATATATATATATATATATATATATATATATATATATATATATCTTGTATACTTTTGGATTAATTATTGATAAAGGCAAAAAAAAACGGACTGCCAAAAGCAGGAGAGAAAAAAATGAGATGAAATTGGAAAAGGCCAAAGATGGGGGGGGGGGGAGCTAGTGGATATGTTCCGTCCCTGGGGATGTCTGAGTTGGAGATGCATGGCATGTATGCAATTGGCATGCATATCCGATGATCCCACCGCCATATATAATACCGCAAAGTAAAAAGTTATCACACGGGTGAGAGATGATATGCAAGGCCTGATTTAATTTGGGTATATTTGCATTATGGTGTTCCTCTCTCAAGAATCGAGTAAATTCAACTTTCACATTTGAATTGGTTCTAATTTAGGGGGTGTTTGTTTCAGCCTCTTAATGATTCAGATGTCTGAATGGTTCAGCACTTAATGGTTCAGACTGTTTGTGTCAGCCTCTTAATGGTTCAGATTTCTGAATGGTTAAGAGATTGCCTCTGAATGGTTAAGTATTATACAGAGTCTGAATGGTTAAGACCTTTTATCTAAATTGATCAGACATTTGCCTCTAAATAGTTAAGCAATATACTAGCTCTTAATGGTTCAGACCTCTTACTGGTTCAACACTTAATGGTTCAGACCTCTTACTGGTTCAGCACTTACCTATTCAGAAGTTGCCAAACAGCCCCATAGTCTGGTTGATTATTCTCAAATTTCAGAATCCTAAAATTTTAAATTAGAATTTGGAACGAATTTCAGAATTGAAAGTTCATACATCTTTTCTTGTCTTTTGAAATTAAAAAAATCAGATTTTAAAATAGAAAATCTTTTCTTGTCATTTGAAATTAAAAAAATGAGATTTTAAAATAGAAATATAAAAATTGGAATAAAATACTATAATTGAGTATTTAGATTTAGCAAGTTACCACTACACCGAATGACATTTCAACAATCACCCTAGATCTGGGTAAATTTCAGTAATGGTATCTAAACGTTCATTGGAGATTTTTGGGATATCGACATTTGCAATAGTCATGGGGCTGTTGAGATGGCTACCGTTAAAAGGCGTCGCCAAGCGACTTCTGCTGGCGGTGAACTTGACGTTGGGACTCCGGCGGCCGAAGACCAGTCCGATCGAGCTTAAGATCGCCACCGGAAAGACGTTGGTCCTCAGCTCGACGTCGGAGCATTGTCCTTAACTAATCTATCCATCTTATCCTATTTACACATCACATCCAAGGTTATTTTTGGGAAATCTACTATTATAAAAAACAAACCTAATTACATGAGGCTAGCTAGTTAGATTGGGCCGAGCCCACTAAAAAACAAAATAATACAAAGAATAACATTAAATGCTAACAAAATCTTATGTACAAATGATATGGTAATAGCTATCATTTTGTTTGTATGTGTGGTCGTTTGGTATAACCAAATACCAAACCGAAATATTCTAGTATTAACCGTACCAAATCGGTTAAATTTATTTTAGTTCAGTATTCGATACACAAATTAATTTATGGTAATTATATTTGACTCGATTTGGTTTTACACAGTGAACACCCCTATAAATTCCACCAAATGTACGTATCTTAGGGGCTATAAGTGTAACGGATCGGACAAAAAAAGAGATTAAAAATGGACAAGCCCACATTCGCAATTAATAGAAAGTTGAGGGATTGTAGAAATAAAAACAAAGGGGTGCTGCGTACAAGCTTATTGCGTAAGTGACTTGAACCTCACGCAGCAAAGTTTGTGCAGTGCACCTATATATATATATATATATAACACCCCCATTTTCCTCTCTTTCATACTTTCTCTCAATTATTGCTGCTTTACTCCTCCCCCTGTCTGAACAGAAATGGAAACATCATTCGAAGCCCAAAGGGAATTATTATTAGATTCTCCACCCCCACAGCAACAACAACAACAACAACCAGAAGAAGAAGAAGATGATGATGAGGAGGAGGAACTGTGCTGCCTTCTTCCTCCCGGATTCCGGTTTCACCCGACCGACGAAGAGATCATCCTGCACTACCTAAGACCCAAGGTCGCCGACAGTGATTTCGTTGCCCGCGCCATCGGAGAAGCCGATCTTAATAAATGCGAACCCTGGGATTTACCTAGTATGTCCTCCCATCCCTCATTTCTACTTCCTCTGTCTCTAAGAGATGTTCATGTTTCATTTGTTGCGCATCACATAAAACACTTCTACCTACATCTAAATTGTCTAAAATTTACTACATTTCTCCTTTATTATAGATAGAAGTTGTTTTGAAAGTTTTTTTGACATTTAATTTAAGATTGAATAGAAGTGTTTTGTGGTATATGCAAAAAAATGACATAAACATCTTTTAGGGATTTGAAAGGAATAGTGCTAGCTTCTTCTTCTTCTTAATTGACTGACTTCTCCCTTAACTTTATGGCTCCCATATTTTTCGAATAAAATCTAGACAGTCACTTTTCTTACTTTTTTATCTTTTAATTTCTTTGCCAAATTGAACCCTGCACGGAATATACTTCTGCCATGCGTCGAATCTATAGCCTTTGGCATCTTATAATTGGCTCATTTCTTGGCGGAGTATTAAATGCTTGCTTTACAAATAATCTCAGTACTCGTCCCGTTTAATTTTCTAGATTTAAAGTCGATAGACTTTAATATCACTTACTCTTGATTCGTATTGCATATTTATATAATTGAATAAGATTTTGAAATCTCTAAATAAGTTAAATTAAATGAAATCAATTTACTTTTTACAAGAAATGGTATTTGCATTCCAATTTCTGATATTGACACTCCAAAATGCATTATTTACCTCTCTCACATGAAGAGTACTCTCTCCGTCCCACAAAACATTACTCATTTTGATGTACTTTTGGTCAAACAGTTACACGCTTTGACTATAAATTAAATATAATCTAAATAAAGAAATGTTATAAAAATTTGCTATATCAAAACTAGATCCTAAGATGAATCCAATTAAGTTAGAGTGCATCCCACTTCGAAAATTCAAGAGTAAAAATAATCGGTATATAAGCTCTTGAGTTGAACTAACTAATTGATTGTATTGAATCTTTTAATGTGGTTCAACCCAAGTTTCTTATTGTCCAATCCAGTTATTCTTATTACATCCTAAATTCTATTAAATTATATTTAATTTATATTATAATTCAATATATTTTTCTCGCAATTTGTAGTCAAAGCGTGTAACTGTTCGACCAATTACTATTCAAAATGGGTAATGTTTTGTGAGACAAAGGAAGTATATTTTTCAAGTAAAAAAATAACAAAAAGTGAAATTTAAAAATCATTTCCCTTTTTATACTAACATATTTTGTACATTACAATAATTGTTTAATTGAAGTTTAAATTCGTCAAGTTGACTAGAAAATGTGATATTAGGAAAATACTTAAGACCAAAGTATATACTCCGTAATTGTTTCCCCAAATTAAATTTCTAAGCAAGTACGAAGTAAGTTTTAGGAGTCTTAGAGCATCTTTAATATAAATTGCTTATATAGACTTCTTAGCTATTTATTTTTGATTAAAATGCTAAGCAACCCTCTATCAATTTGAAGCAATTGTGCTTCTATGTCATAAGCCTCCTAAGCATTTTTTATTAAGATATTCCTAAGCAACACTTAAGCATCTTTAGGAAGTCATTTGATGCAGTGTTCTTTTGCTTGCATCTTTCCACGTACATGGGGTTTTGAATATAATAATAATAATAATAATAATAATAATAATAATAATAATAATAATAATAATAACGGTCCGGTTCCAGTGGCACCGCTAGTGGCACCGTTCTCCGGTGTCACTAGAACCGGGCCGTAATAATAATAATAATAATAATAATAATAATAATAATAATAATAATAATAATAATAATAATAATAATAATAATAATAATAATAATAATAATAATAATAATAATAATAATAATAATAATAATAATATAGATACTCATTACTATTATTATTGATATTATTATTATTAATAATATTATTATTATTTCATCCTCTATCCTTATATGAAGTTTATTGTTTGACTCCACGGAGCTTAAATTTTTGTATCAAGGGTAATTTACCTAAATAGGACTAAAATATACTACGTAATGACTTTCTCAATCTAAGATCATATGTTTTATTTTCCAATGTAGGACCATTGGTCATTATTTATTAGTCATTATTCAACTAAATGTCCAGCATTACTTGGACATTTTTTTTCTCACTAGTCATTATTAAGTCTTATTTAGGGAATAAAAAAGTTTAAGTCCTACATTGGGAAATGACTTATGTTTTAGTCCTATTCAGTGCAAATTTCACTTGTATCAACTCTGTATGGAAAAATCTTATATTTTTCTGTCCCACCAAAAAACTTTTCTCATTTCTATTAAAAAGTTATTTTTACCCCTACTAATTCTAATTACATATCACATCACACTTTTTCACTACTAATCTACGTATCTCATCTACTTTTACTTATTACATCCAATAACATTTTTGGAAAGTCAACACCAACATACACTCCTCTTAAATCTCTTAAAACTCAAAACAAGAAACGTTTTGTGGGACGGAGGGAGTATTTGCCTATGCATGCAGGCTAGATTTTGGGATATTATATTTGGAAAAAAATAAAAAAGTAAACTTTGTTTAACTTTAATTATTTTGGAATAGGGAAATCAAAAATGGGAGACAAGGAATGGTGGTTCTTTTGCCGGAGAGACAGGAAGTACCCAACAGGAATGAGGACAAACAGGGCGACGGAATCGGGTTACTGGAAGGCCACCGGAAAAGACAAGGAGATCTTTACGGGAAGGGGCAGTAGTAGTAATTATAACAACAATAATCTTGTTGGGATGAAGAAGACCCTTGTTTTCTACATGGGTAGAGCTCCCAAAGGACAGAAATCTAACTGGATCATGCACGAGTTTAGACTTGAAGGCAGATTCTCTTTCAACCACTCCTCCAATACATCATCATCAACTAGTAGGGTAAGAATTATATTTGTCTTTTATAAATTATAGCCAGCCCCTAGCTTCTTAATCTTAATTATACAAATATTTTGAATTATTTTTCCATTTAGAAAAACATCTAAATGAGATATAAGTAATGTTTTCTTTTAAAAAATATTCGTAAGTATTTATAATTAGACCATGAGCAATGACAAGTGAAAAAAGAATGTCATCACATGATGACGCGGAGTATTTATCTACGGAGTATTCAAAATAAGTTTAGCTAGCGTGTGACGAATGAATGAAGTGACATGTCTGGCAATGGCAAATCATTATTGTTGTCAATTTTTGCACTTTTCTTGCATATTTTAATTATTAAAAAGATAATTTACTTATTCTTTTCATAAATATAAGTGTACTCCGATCCTTTTTAAAATTAAACTTCTTTTTTGTACGGAGTACAAAAAACTAGCCCATGCATGAAATGCTTGGCGGGGTACGTGGAATGGTGTTGCCACTCCACGCCAAGGAGAGATCATGGCTGATGTGGCACAGCGAGGCGATGCCTTGCTACTCTTAGTATCAATGATACTTTGGTTATTTTACTAATTTCATTCCTTAAATTTTGAGTTATTTTACAAAGCAGACAATTAAAATACGAACTAATTTTATACGAATTACCTTTGAACGTAACGAATAATATAAGTGTGAATTTAATTTAGAGACGAAACAAACATGTACTCTGGAATACTCTCTCTATCCCTAAGAGATTTTTCCCTTTCATTTTTTCCTCCCAAAAAGTCTAGCTCTTCATTTTATATTTTTAAATTCATTTTTGCACATGCTAATTTTTATCTATCTATTACACTATATCAATTCACTATTAATCTACACATTGCATCGGTTGTAATTTGGAAAAATCAAAATAAAAATATATCTCCTTTAAATTTTACTCCCTTCGTTTCTTAAAACACTTCCTCTTTTATTTTTTTCCTTTCTCGAAACACTTTCACTTTTTATTAAAAAACTGATTTTACCTTTTTTTATCTTATCTATCGTACCATACTTTCTCTCTAATAATGTATCCATCAGATCTTACTTTTACTCATTATATTAAAGACAATGTTGAAAAATAAATCATAAATATACACTCTTTATTCTGGTGTGAAGTCAAAATTGAATTTATTTTAGAGGAATTTACCTAAATAGCACTAGAACATAATGACTTTCCTTGAATAGCACTACATATGTTTTTTTTCTCAATGTAGCACTTTTAGTCATTATTCAAGTAAATGTTTGCTATCACTGGTCATTATGGACATTATAAAGTGCTACTTAGGGAAGAAAACAATCTAAGTGCTATTTAGAGAAATGACTTAAGTTTTAGTGCTATTTAGTGCAAATATTTCTTTATTTTAAGAAAGGAAGGGAGCATAAAAGTTAAAATGGAAAAGATAGAGATTTTGGGAGTACATTGAGAGGTTGACAATTAGTTACGGAGGGAGCAATTAATTGCATTTTACGAATTTTGATGAGTCCCTAAATTCTGAAGAAAGAGTATTGGGAAACTTGCATTGAATTCTTTCCTTCTTTCTTTCTGGCCGGTGACATAAATTATTTTGGAACGCGTGGAATAGGAAGATTGGGTGGTGTGCAGAGTGTTTCACAAGGTCACGGCAGCAGTTGCGGGAATCCAAACGGAGAATAAGAATGGTCGGATTGATTCATTTGTGGATAACCTAATTGTTCCTCATACTCCTACCAATTCATCAACAACGACGACCTTGCCGCCGCCGCCTTTGACTGATTATGAGTATTATTATTCACCTACTGTTCCAGCTGGCGCCGAACCCCCGACGACGGCGGCGGCGGCGGCGGCCCAATATGATGTTCTGAATAATAATAATAATAATGCCCATTACCACCAAGACTTGAAGCCCATGGGCACGGGGTACCCTCCAAAAATGCTACAAAATTACCATGCATACCCTTATGATGAATCGGACTTCATTTTCCTGCATCCTCCTCCTGAACAAGTCCCCGCCGAAATAGAAACGCCGGCGAAGGAGAAGCTCGACGGCGGCGCCGGGAGCCGCCAGCGGCCGTCATTTGATGAGGACCCTTTGGATAGCGGGGATCATCCTGCAGGATATCGTCATAATACTAATAATTATGTGGCCATGGATGGGGGGGCTCTTGATCATTACTCTATTTGGGACTACTGATGATCCATATGCATGCATATACCATCCACGTACAGTTTGTGCCCAACTTTGAATTTATTAGTCTATCATGCCGCATCATCACAAACGTACACTTTACATGATCCATCTTAATTTAGACACATTGTATGCTTTAATTAATCATTATCGTCATTTGTGTACTAGCTAGCCATAGGCATCTAATGGTGATTTTTAGTATTTACGTATAACATCATGCTTGTATGAAGTAGTATTAGTATGTGTAATACTCCGATCTGTTATTATGAGAAATTTACTTAAATAACACTAAAACATAATGACTTTTCCTAAATAGAACAACATGTGTTTTTCTTCCCAAGTAGCACTTTTAGTCATTATGCACTAGTCATTATTCAAGCAAATATTCGCCATCACTGGACATTATGGACATTATTAAGTGTTATTTAGGGAATAAAATAATTTAAGTGCTATTTAGGGAAATGACTTAAGTTTTAGTGCTATTTAGTGCAAATAGAAATATTTGCACTAAATAGCACTACAACTTACGGAGTAAGTCATTTCCTTAAATAATATTTAAACTGTTTTATTCCTTAAATAGCACTAAATAATGTCCATAATGTCTAGTGATGACGAATATTTGCTTGAATAATGACTAATGCATAATGACTAAAAGTGCTACATTGGGAAGAAAAACACATATGGTGCTATTTAGGGAAAGCCATTATGTTTTAGTGTTATTTAAGTAAAATCTTCTTATTATAATCATGGTTCTCTCGACAATAGTTCTTGTTATCATATTTCTATAAAAGTGTTCCTATTTTGTCTTTGTGTAAAAATAAGAAAATGTTAAATTGTAGTTGACTTCTAATTTTGCCCTTGATGTGATGGGTAAAAGTAAGATGTGATGGATTAAGTATTAGAGAAAAAGTATGATGTGATAGGTAGGGTATAAAAAAGTAAGGGTAAAAAAGTGGTTTTTTAATGGAAAGTGGAAGTGTTTTGTTGGAATTCAAAAAAATGAAAGAGAAAGAGTTTTTGAGAACGAAGTGAGTAATGAAAACAATTAAAATTAGACACCTACAACGATGATGGAGCCCCAAGTGAATTAGTTGTCTTTTTCTTGACTTATACAATGACTTTTCATCACCTCTATGTTAGAGTGTTAGATAATTAATTATATATGGTCAATATTAATTGTAGCAGATTTTGTATTTTAGTCTGCTTTTGTTATTCTTTTTCATAGTTCTTGTTGGGTTTGTATTCACATCTATAAATAATCTATCATACATGCATGCATTCTATTATTACTTGATCAATACATTGTTCTATTAATTCAATATGGTCTCAGAGCTATAGGTTCATCTTTTTCTTTCTTTTATCGGCTTCACCGCCGCATATTGTGGCTTGACCGCCATCGTGGTCGTAGATCCACCATCTCCGATAGCGGCCTGTTGCCGTCAGCGTGGTACCGTGACTTCAACCTGTTGAATGCCATCGTCCTTCTGTGCATCGTTCAAGGATGGCAAACAGATCTAGTAGTAAAGATCTGTGCGATTCTCTTTTAGGAGGTTTGAGACTTTTTTCTTTGTAATATGCACTCTCTCGTCTCTGTGAAATTAGACGGTTCCAATTATTCGTCGTGGTCATCTACTCTCAAAGCAACTCTTCAGGCACATCATCTTTTTGGCCGCGTTGATGGTACTGTGACACCAACATCACCGATGATCCTTGATGAAAAAGCTCCTCTCAGTGCGGACAAGCAACCCGTTTTAAAAGCTAACCTTGCCTAGGAACAATAAGTGATCATCGATGCCCAACCCCGCGCCTCACTTCTTTCTCCAGCAATTCAAAATTTGGTTTATCTTTACTCTACTCATAGTTGTTGAGTTTTGGATCAATTACATCAATGGTACAACTCTCTATCTTGTACCCATATTTTTCAATGGGATTTCTTCGGTGCCCCAAAACATACACTAGAATTACTAATAAATAACTATTCGATTGATCAAAGTTGTTTTCATTAAAATAAATTGTTGTTAGACTTTGGGCCTATACGAAATATGTTTTGATACCCAATTAGGATAAATCTCATAGATATAAATCCCATATGTTGACTATGTGTGTGGTCTTGATTGAGAACTTGAGTACAGACCCAAATCAAGAATAAATGAAGAAATTAATTATGATGTGAACTTTAAAATTATTTATTGAAATAAATCATGAGAATAATTAATATGAATTAAATATGAGGACATTTTTTGAATAAAAGACAGCTGAATCAATTTTAACTCTGTCAAAGTCAAACACTCAAAAATATGATGTCGGAAAAACTATTACAAATAAATATAAAAGTTATATCGTTGGATAGAGTTTTACTGTCCGATCGCAATGGTGCAAACAGAATTCAATTTGGAAAAAGTTGGACCAAAAAGTGTACCCTGACTGGAAGCAAATTGGTCCCAATGAGTAAATGGCGTGTGAAATCCTACAAATCCGTAGTCTTGCGCACTAAATCGATCATCAACGCAGAAATGGAATCCTGAGTCACAACTATGTCTTCTTCTTCACTTCTTATCCTATAAAAGGAACCCATTCTCTTCCATTTCTTCATCAATTTCTTTCAAATAAACTCTAAGAAGAAGCTGTGAGTGTGGAGAACAAGATGCCTGGTCAGAATCACAATCAGCTGATAACTGAAGGCGTGGTGCATGCATATGATCAAGGCGTGGTGCATGCATAAATTGGGACAGAACATGAACCGAATAAGAGAGATCTGGCCGAGTGATAGTGAGATATATCAAGCGACCCACAAGGTGTTGATACTGGTCCGGGTCACGAAGCTCAGCACTAGTAGACCGAGCCAGACCATGGTTCGGTGTGATGAGAGTATTGGCCGGTTTGTAGCCCAAGAGGCCAGCTTCATGGAGAATGTCGAGTGCACATTTTCGTTGACAAAGAACAATCCCCGGCACAGATCGAGAACACTCAATACCCAAGAAATATGATAAAGGTCCCAAATCCTTCAGATGGAAACAACGATGTAGATAAGACTTAAAAGAGGCACATAGAGTGGAGTTGTTACGTGCAACCAAAATGTCATCAACATAAACTTGGATAACCAAATATCAGACCCGCAACGATGAATAAAGAGAGTATGATTAGCATGAGTCTAACGAAATCCGTATCTATTTTAGAACTTCAAAGTTTTTACTTCTTCAAATTTTTTCTAACATTCTATTTCAACCGAAAAGAATATATTTTTACTTGCCAACTTTTTTGTATCAAAAGAGAGTGAATGATGTTACCCTCGATACCTTAAATCTTAATACCACATAAACTAAATTTTGTACCAAATTGGTTTTGCCCCATACTTTCCACTCGGATTATGCTATGTGTACCTCAAGGATTGTACCTCAATTTGTACCCCGCAGTTTTGCACCAACAATTTGTGTTGATGTAAAACTAATTTTTGTTAAACGCACCAACATTTGTGTCCGTGTGAATATTTATTAACACACCAACACTTGTGTCGGTGTAAACAATCAAAATGCTTGTGCAAGTCTGTGGTGTACAAATAGGGTATATTTTTTGGTGTAAGTGTAGCATATTCCTTTCCAGTCTAATCACAAATGTCCAACACAATTAACCAAAACACTGACATCGCGTATCCGCGTAATAGGCCGGTCTGGACGGCTGCGATCGCAACGTACTACATCAACGGCTGCGCTTCAACAGCACGCAATGCTTGAAGCAGCACCGGAGAAGAATAGCAAGTGCATAAAATTTCTTCAATCACTATTACAGTAACAAAGACTGAAAAAAATTCATCATTCAGAAGAAGAGGAACAACAGAGCAGGATGAAGATGCCCCGGAGGCCGATCCAAGCCGTGACGACATGGGTTAAGCGGCAACCGCCCAAGGTGAAGGCCTTCCTCGCCGTCATCACCGGCATGGCGGCGCTAGTGTTGCTCCGAGCCATCGTCCACGATCACGACAACCTATTCGTTGCCGCCGAGGCAGTTCACTCCATCGGAATCTGCGTCCTCATCTACAAGCTCATGAAGGAAAAAACTTGCACCGGTAACCTCGCCTGTTCGAATTTTCTCACAATCTCTGAAATTCGTCGATAAATCTAACGAAGGGAATTATGAATTCGTCCATTAGTTCTTAGTTGTACAGGTGCCGATTAGATCCTGGAATCAAAGGATTGACACTTTTCCTGCTATCGATTAATTTCGGGGATGGATTTAGGGGTTTAACTGAAAACTACGACATTTTGTCATTTTAATGTGGTTATAACTTCATCAGCCTAAATTGTTGATGAAATCATGTTTATACCCTTGGGGAACTAAGAAAAAGGTGTTTCTGTGGCTCAGTTATGTAGTCTGGTGTAACTTAGGGCTCGTTGACTTTGCCTAATCTTCTTTTTTTCAGACTTCAGTATAGCTCATATTGTAACAATTTTAAGGCATTTTCAAGAATTCCGGTGGCACTTATTCCCTTATCCTTTCAATTATACCTGTGAACAAGAAGTTGTTTCTAGAAGTTTCCTATTTAGCTTGCAATTTGATTTAAGGATTAAGAAAGAAAACAAACATCACTGCTCTATTTAAAGGAGTAAGAGGAGAAGATGAACTCCTTCCGTCCATATTTAATGTTGTCATCCGAAAAGGTAAGTGGGATGTTAAGAATTGATGGAGGGAGTAATAATATGATGAATGCCTTCAGGGACTGTAATATAAGTGTGAGGAATTGTAAGCTGTTCATATTTATCAATATATGTATATTCCTTAGAATAGATGATTTTGTCCGTGTACCAATTTTGCCCTTATCATTCATGTGCCTACTCTAGTTTGCTGCTAATTGCGCACCTCAAATCTTTGTAGGGCTTTCTCTCAAATCCCAGGAGCTTACAGCTATGTTTTTAGCTGTTAGACTATATTGCAGCTTTGTTATGGAGTATGACATACACACTCTGCTTGACATGGCTACACTGGCTACAACTCTATGGGTTATATATATGATTCGCTTTAATCTAAAATCAAGTTACATGGAGGACAAAGACAATTTTGCGATGTATTATGTCGTAAGTTTCTCAGTATACCCTGCAAAGAAATATGATGTGATTGCCCATATCTTTTAATTAGACAAACAAGAGGAAGTTTGTCCAAGTTTGGCATGACATTTTGTAAATTCTTAACTTTTTGGGACCAAGGGAGTAGTTATGACTACCTTATGTGTTACAGCTTGTGAATAAAATTTTGTGTTTCTGATTTGATTGCATAGATGCATGCTCATGCTGATGGTCTGACAAACAT